ATCCAGCATTAATTAGTATACTATTTATAGGTCACTTTTTCAATGAGAAATTGTTCAAGATACTATAACTGATAAAACAATAACTAATTAACCTGAAAATAATATAGCATGAAACCAGATAGAAATGCAAATTATTTTAACAGTAATATCCAGCTTTGATAAATTCAGGGGTAGGCAACCTTTCCCCTTTAAGGGCCAAGGGACTTCAGCTCCCAGAAGCATCAGCCATGTTGGCCAATAGTTCCATGTTGGCCAATAGCTCCTGGGATTCTGGGAGCTGAAGTCCCTCGGCCCTTAAAGGGGAAAGGTTGCCTACCCCTGGGTAAATTAAACAAAATATCTTTAGAAGCCTTACAATAGCATTAGTTTGAAACAACAGGGTTTGAAATTCTAATTTTTTTCATACCTCTAACCGCCTTTCTGAAAGAGGCTAGCCTTATTAAAACTGATCTAAATCTGACATTTGCTGCATCAGGAATAAGAGTCACCTGCTTTCCAGAACTGGAGCAGTCAAAGTATTATAGTGGTAGGCCACATACCCAAGGCACGCTCACAACTGCCTCATGCAATATGGGATGTTCCAGCTCTCTAAGCTTTAAGTCCTATTCCTCTCAAATGTGTGGTGTACTGAACTGGTGTCCTGGCATCATAAAGAGTATTTCTTTGTGATCTTTCAGCCAATAACATAACTATATTATGGAGCAGCAGAGTGTAACATGAAGGCACCATTTGAATGGTTAACCTGTTCTCTAATTTATAAACACTAGTTCTATGCTTAATGTTTTCATGTGAACTTTCTTACTCTTACAATATCAGCAGCATATTGTTGCTCTAGCACTCTCTCAGAACATTTTATGACACACCTCACCACTTTTCAACTCCCATGGCTTCTTATTTGTATGCACTGCAAGTATGACACTTCTATATAACCTTGATGAATTAAAAAATAGCTTATCAATATTCAATCATGCTACCTCATTTGTCCATTTTTTCTTTTTTTCCTGGCATTTCCAAGTTGAAATTGTCACTGGTCTAAGTAAATGGGATTAAAATTGCATATTCTCCCTTTTAAACTGAAATTAAATCAGTCTGCCAGTCATGTCATGCTAAAACACCCCAGTTTAGGAGGGCTGCTATAATGTATAGTGGCGGATGTAATATTAACAAGTGTTTCTTTTCATTATCATGCTGGTTTTCTGGCATCTTATCAAACATCTGATTTAATATTTCAGTGAGAAAGTGAAGCAGTGGCAGGTGCCGTCTGTCCAGTGTCGTTTAGTATTAAAATTAAATTTTCAGATTTGCCAGTAGCTTTCATAAGGTTTTATCACAGAGTGAAAAGGAGACTGTTTCTCAGAGTTCAGGTTTTAGCATACTGGGTGCTTGGCAGTTTCTCACATTTGTGTCTTACAAACATTTGCTTCATCATCTCTCCATTTCTAATTCCATTGAACACAAAATAAACAATTTTTGAATGCAGCTAAGCAGTTAACAGTGCTGCTTTCCATTGGAGTCACTTTGATTGACAACAGTAGCTGAACAGACTAGAGATATGGAAACTTGTCTACCCTATTCTTATTGAATTTCTCGGTTTCCCACCATTAGTCTCACTCCATTCCCATTTCTGTATCAGGTTGCAAGTTATTTTTCCTCCTCCTCACATGTACAGAAACTTGTGTGCATGCCTTTACTCAGTAGGTGGTAATTTGCATGTGTCTCGAAGAGTTTAGGCATACCATGTATTTATATAATTGCTTGTTTGTTGGTCTCTGAACACCCTCTCTCTTCCTGAATTAGTGAGCATGCAAATAGTCTGTTTGGGGGGCTGCAGACTGCCAGAAATAGTGCAAATTGACTCCACTTTTAGGGAAAGGGTCAGTGCTAGGGAATCATGGGAATTTTTTTTTTTTCCTGAGACATTGAGCCTTCTTTGTCAGAGAGCTCTGGTGCCACAATAAAATACAGTTCCCATGATTCCCTAACCCTAACCCTAAAAGTGGACTCAATTTGCACTATTTCTGGCAGTCTGCAACCCCCAATTGTTCTCTGTTTTGTAGTCTGCATCTTTCTCCCTGCCCTATGTTTGAAGAACGCATGTTACCGAACCTCTCACTATGGCATGTTATGAAACCTTTAACATTGGTTAATGAATGTACTTCATATGTTTTTGCAAAGAATACTAACCTAATTATTTTTCTGTTAGACCCAGTATGAGGATGGGTGTGGAGTGGAAGTGGTTGTTGCTCACTGTTTGCTTGTGATTACTTGTGAATTATAATGCTTGTGAGATACACTACTATTCCTCACATTCCCTCACATATTTTCAATATGTACCTTGGAAATGTCTATTGCTGGCTAATGACTTTACCACATGAGCAGAAAAAAGACGGAACCAATTGGGAGATAGTGGCTTTCTCCATGGCACTCTGCATGACATCATAGCACTTCTGTTCTCTTCCTGAGGGGGGACAGTAATAAAAATATGCCTTTTGCTGAATGGGATCCATTCAGCAAAAGGTATGCTTTGATTATTGTCCCCCCTTGGGAAGAGAATAGAAGTGCTACAAGGGCATGAAGAGCAGCTACTCTCCTGATCATTTTTGCCTTTCTTTTCTCATATATTGAAGTCCTAAGACTGATGGAATCAGATGCAATCCAACAACATTTATGGGTTGCATGATTCCTCCTCCCCCCCCCCCATTCAAATTTATGTTTTTCTGGTATTTTACAGATTTTTTTACATTGATTAAAGCATATCTGCATATTCTTCAATTCTATGACTTTTGGATTGTGTATATTTTTAAAATTTTACGTTTTTGTGCACATTTTCCTTTGCTGGCCTCATGTGAATGCATTTTTTAGGCAAGATGTCTTCTGTTCTGGTGGCAGTCTTGGGAAGTAAAAAATGAATAATTTCATATAGTAATGTAGTTCTGGTTATTTTCCATCTCTAAATGAATCAAAAACCTGGGTTTCTACTATTATGGTTTGGGAAGTAAATATACATCTAACATCAGTACAGCTAATAGTCTGAGCATGAAGCTTCTGAAAGTAAACATCCCACACATGAAGAGCCCTGGTGGTGCAGTGCTTAAATGCCTGTGCTGCAGCCACTCACTCACAAACCACAAGGCTGTGAGTTCAATACTAGTCAGGGGCTCAGGCTCGACTTAGGCTTGCATCCTTCCGAGGTCACTATAGAGTACCCAGCTTGTTGGGGGCAATTAGCTTACAGTTGTAAACTGCTTGGGGACTGCATAGCATGGTATGAAGCGGTATATAAATGAAGCTGCTATTGCTATTGCAGAGCTAAATTATACAGCTGGCCCTCCACATTTGTGGCTTTGACTTTTGCAGTTTTGATTATTCATAGAATTAATTGATATATTCCTCTAGGTCCTTCAGCATGGCTCTGCTGGAAATTGACCACACAGTTATGCTGGAAGACCCAGAGATTCCTAAAGAAAACTCTTCTTTAGGCATTTGTAGGTCCTTCAGTATGATCCTATGGTCAGCTTCCAATTGATGTTGACCATAGAGTTGTGCGTAATGACCTAGATACTCCTGAAGAGATATTCTCTCCAGTAAAAAATAAAAAAAATGTTTTTTCCACTTTCATGAAGGTCATGTGCCTCTAACCCCAGTGCATGTGGAGGGCCTACTGTATTGCATTTTAAGAAGCGTTAGCGTACAATTATCTGAGTTAAAATGAGCAATAAACACATGGCACCATCATCTCAAAATGTTGCTCACCATTGAAAAGTATTGCTTCTTTTCAGTACATTGTGGTGGTGATAGTTATTTTTTTAATATGCATATATATTACAATTAAGCACATAATAATGTTACATGAAAAATAGACAGAACAGGGAGCTAAACTGAAGCTGAAGTGACTCATCAACAAACTGGGAATGTGAAAACATGAAGTAGAATTCAGTGTGAACAGATGTCATTATATTTGGTCTTCCTTACAGTTGAAGAGAAGGACAGAAGGTTAAGGAATTGTGATGCAAATGAGTATTGACCTGCAGAGAGGGATGGATAGATATGTCTGTGCCACTTTTCTCCATATTCATGCATAATTCCATGCCACCCATCCACCCTCCTTTTCCTACAT